CTGAAAGTTTCGACGCCAGAGATTCTCTAAGACCGGCTGTTCTGCTACTTCAAAGCACCGTTTCTCTCTTTCAGAGTTTTTAGGCATCTTGGCTGTTTGTGACTGGGTGTTTGGTGGCATCTGCTGCTTCTCTCACTTGTTAAGACCCTGAGCCCTGAACCCTCAACCCAGAACCTTAAACCCAGAACCCAGAACCCCCAAAAATCAGATCCCTAAACTCTAAACCCCTAAACCCCAAAAGCCCTAAACCCCCTAAGCCCTAAACCGGCCTAAACCCAGAACCCTAAACCCTAAACCACAAAAACCCTAAACCCCAAACCCCAAAAGCCCTCAACCCTAAACCCCGAAAGCCCTAAATACCACAAACCTCAAACCGGCCTAAACCCAGAACCCTAAGACTCCCGAACCCCGAAAGCCTTGTGAGTTCCGAGAGGTGGGAGACACGAGCAGCCGACATCGCCAAACGGCAAGGAGTCAGCGCCTGCCGTGGTGTTTCGGCAAGCCCGCATGTGGGTTTAGGGTTTAGGGGTTTAGGGGTTTAGGGTTTAGGGTTTAGGGTTTAGGGTTCAGGGTTCAGGGTTCAGGGTTCAGGGTTCAGGGGTTTAGTGTTAGGGTCCCTTACTAAGGGATGAAAGGGACCCTAATTTAGAGAACTACCCATGTGCATGGAGTATTTAGAATAGAATAACAGTCAGGGTTACGGGGTCTATGTGCTGGTAGTCGTAAACATCCGACCCCTGTAGTAATATCGGGGCTGGAGTTTGGGTTTAGGGTTGAGGGCTGGGCCACATCATGCTTAACATAGGGGCCTTCGTAACCAGAATAGGGTTTGGGGTATATATTGTACTATAATTATAACAAGGAACCCCCCAAAACCCTGTTCTAATTATTAAGGCCCCTACATTATGTGAAGGCAAAGTGTCTCTCAAGAGGTTTTGGACGAATCCTCGGCTCAGGCTTACGCCAGATTCCAGGGCCCAGTATATGAACCCTAAACCCCTAAACTCCAAGCCCCATAACCCTAAACCCTAAACCCCCAAAACCCTAAAGCCCTAAACCCCTAAACTCTAAACCCCATAACTCTAAACCCTAAACCCCTAAACCCTGAACTCCCAAACCCTAAACCCTAAACCCCTAAACCCTAAACCCTCCCTCATCTTCTCAGTCTTCATGTGCAGGCTTGGGGGGCTGTGCAGTGTCTTACGGCTTGAAACCTCGCAGGACGTCTTCGCCTGCATCTCCAGTGAGGAGGAAGGCGTGGATCCATGGGTGGCTCTTGGGCACGACAACTAGACTTTTTCGCTTTTTTTTTGGGAGGAGTCGAGTTTTATGAGTTCTCAACTGTTGGGGTTTCTGGCTCGTTGATTGCGGGGTTTCTCCGGGGGGTTTTGATGTCTGTCGCACTCTGAAGGCAGCCTGAACCCCAAACCCTAAACCCTAAACCCCTGCCTCTAAGCCCTAAGCCCTGCGTCAGCAATTCAATGCTCAAGGCCCCGAGCTGCATACCATCCGAGAGAACCCCAAGCAAGTTTCTGGCGAGCTCGAAGCCCTTGAACCACAGGAAGGCGGAGAGAGCCACAGCAAACCGAAGCTGACCGAAACATGTCAGCCAATCTTTGAGACCCAAGCCGAACCCGATGTCTTTCAGGAAGGGGAACCAAGGCTATCATGATGTATGTTTTTCTTGAATACATACATATATAATCATCTCTATATATATACATACACACATACACATGATGAGCTATACACAGGGAGCGACATAGACGAACTCGCACAAGGTCCTATTCATGGTTCTTGGGAAGCAGAACCATCAGCAGAATACAAACAGAACACACAGTCCAATATTCCCTAAACCCTCAAGTCCAAAAACACCTGTACGTACTAAGACCCTAAACCTCGTACCAACCAAAAGCTCCCGAAACCCTCAACCCCAACAACACTTTAAATTCACCAAACCCTAATATAGAAGGCTAAATAATTACCAATATTACTGTCAGGGTTCCCTATTATAACTATAGTATCATATACCCCAAAACCCTATTCTAATTATTAGGGCCCCGACATTAAGCAAGCTCAATACTTCTGAAACTCTAAACGATGCTGACGCCTTAGACTCCGCACCCGTTCACAGCACCGAGAACCCCGAAGCTTCACGACTCCACAACCCTAAACCCCAAAACAGCTAAACCCTAAACCTAAACCCCAAAACAGCCCCGCACTTCCGAAGCAGGAAGCTTCAATTCCACAACCCCCAGACCCAAAAGCCAGAAAAGCAGCCAGAGGCCCTAAACCCTAAACCCTAGATCCTAAACCAAAAACTCAACACCCTAAAACAACAGCAACGATTTCGAATTCCTTGATTTCCAAACCTGGGAGGCGAAGTAGACATTCTCCAAGGCCCGTCGAAGGCCAGAGATCCGAGGGTTTAGGTTTTAGGGTTTAGGCTTTAGGGGTTTCGGGTTTAGGGTTTAGGGTTTCGGTGTTTAGGGTTTAGGGTTTCAGGTTTAGGGCTCGAAGCATTGGGTTTAGGGTTTGGGGCTTAGGGTTTACGGGAAAGGATAGTCATAGTGACGATAATGACGGTAAGAGTACTACTGGTAGCAGTAATTTTTGAACAAAAGTCGAAATCATTGTTATAGTGGCAGCCAAAATATGCACAACAACACCAGCATTAACTAAACAACAACATGATCACACCGGAAACAAGAATAACAGTGTCACCAGTAACAACAATGATAGTTATATTGATTATAGTACTGATAGTAATAGCAACAGTGATAGCACTAGTATTACTGAAGGCGGTGGCAATAGCAACGGCAACAGCAATGGGAACAGGGCCTAGGAATCGCAATAGCAATAGCAATAGTATTTATCATAGTTATAGTCATATCCGTATTCATACGAATCGGAATAGGACTAGTGGTGGCAGTAGTAGTAGTCGTGGTCGCAGTCGTTGCCGCAATATGAACAAAAATACCACTCTTAACAACAAAACGAATTCTACTGCTAACTATAGCTATCATCAATGAAAATGTTGGGACCGTAAAAGGCGTGTAGAACAGTTAAACAGGGTTTTGCAAGGCCTAAAGAAGGGCATGTTTAGTGGCCCTGATAAATAGTTTAGATTTTGAATGGTGCCTGTTCCATCTTCTATTGATCCCTGCTATGGCATCGATAATTTTTTTTGCTTAACGAGAACCCAGAAGAAGCCGTATACCCCGGAACCCTGAACCCTTAAAGCTGTGAGTCTTTCCGTCGACTATCGGTCTCGATGAGAGAAACTGCAGCGTTTACCTAATTTTTCAGGATGAATTCGCCCTTTTCGGTTTTCGGGCCTTGTGGTTTAATGCTTAGGGTTTTTCGGGTTTTGTGGTTCAGGGTTTAGTGTTTGGGTCAGCTAAGAATCCTGGAACCTAAACCCGGAGTTGTAAAGGAGCTATATCTTGAATTTCAACTCCGGAACCCCGCCAAACTAATTCCCACCCATGTCAAGATGTAAACCCTTGGCCCCGGAGCATAAGCCATGAGCCCTGTATCCCAATACCCTGAGGCCGTAAGGCTCCCCGGACACACGTATTTGGGGTGGGAGGCTCCATATTAATGTAAATGTCGGAGAACCTAGAAACCTAGAACTAGCATTCATTTGTCATACTACACCCTAAACCTGAAACCCTAAACCCTAAGCCCTAAAATTACTTACGCCTCATTATGTAAGGCTCCTGGACCCATACGGTGAGAGAAGGCCCTCACAAGAAAAGCTTCACAATTATAGCCCTTCACCGGTTTAGGGTTTAGGG